GTGCAGCCTGGGGAAGAGAAGGCTGCGGGGAGACCTTCCTGCGGCCCTGCACTGCTGGAAGGGGCTGCAGGAAAGGTGGGGACAGGCTTTGGAGCAGGGCCTGCAGCGACAGGACAAGGGGGAATGGTTTTAAACTAAAGAAGAATAGATTTAGGCTGGATATAAGGAAGAAATGTTTTACTCTGAGGGTGGTGAAGCACTGGCACAGGTTGCCCAGAGAGGTGGGAGATGCCCCATCCCTGGCAACATCCCAGGCCAGGTTGGACGGGGCTCTGAGCACCCTGCTCTGGTTGAAGCTGTCCCTGCTCACTGCAGGGGTTGGGCTGGGTGGGCTCTAAAGGTCCCTTCCCACCCAAAGCATTCTGCGATTCGATGATCTTTAAGGACAGACTGTGCTTTGGTGCAAGAATACAGCCTGGGACATTGGTTCTGGATCGCTGTCATCCCAGAACGGTGTCCTGTGCTGTGTGTTGAGCATCACCTGCTTTTCCCGTTCCTTTAGAGAGCACCAGCAGAAGAGATCACGTACGAAACGCTGAAGAAGGCGATAGGTAATCGAGGGAGCCGGCCGTGGTAGGGAGAGGTGGAGCCTGGCACGGTGTGTCCGTATGGGTAGTGTTACCCCTGGGTCTGCGCGCACCGTGGATGGATGGATCCCCAGCGCCTCGCCATTGCGCTCAAGTCACAGCGTGGTCGGGCAGCTTCATAGCTCTGCCTTGGCCCTGGGGGTGTCCCTGGGGGGCTGCCCCCAAAGCCAGAGGCTGGAAACCCTCTCCTTGGCTTTCTAGTGATTCCCAAATCCATGCTGTCTGCTGGGGAGGTGGGGATGCGGAACGGGGTGGTCTCTGCGGGTGGGGAGCAGCTGAGCACCATCTCCCCTCTGCTTCAGTAGACAGCGTCGCCGTGGAAGAGCAAGAGCGAGAGCGGAGGCGGCAAGTGGTGGAGAAATTTCAGAAAGCCCCGTTCGAGGAGATCGCCGCCCACTGCGGTGCCCGGGTGAGTCGGGGCTGTGGCACTCAAAATCCCCATGGCCTTTCTGCTGGGGAGAGGTGGACAGTGATGACGCGGCTCTAAATTTTGCCAGGCCACCCTCCCCTCTGCTCTGGTGACTGGGGAAGGCCAACGGGTTGTTTGTCCCGTTTGTCCCGCTGTGGTCCTCAGGGTGCAGCCGCACTGATACAGCCGCTCTGTCTGTGTTACAGGCGACGCTGCTGCAGAGCAAACTCAACCAGATCTTCGAGATCACCATACGGTGAGTTGGGGTGACAGCCACGCACAGTTTGTCAAGCCACCCGAAAACCCGCTGCCGGATTGCGGGGTGCCTGACCACAAGACCAGCGCTGGCTGCGGGGCAATTGGGAGCCACGTGCGTCCCCCGTCGAGGAGGCTGGTGTGCTGGGGATGGGTGCCAGCCTGGGGCTGGGGCCTTTGCGGTGGCAGAGGGGACAAGGGTTGCTGGCAGCAGCCTCTGGCTCGTTTGCCCCAATTCCCCTCTGCTATGGTGGCACCGGGGAGACCTGCAACAGTGCAAGAATGCGCATTTTCTGCACCGGGCTTTGCTTCCTCACCAAACCTCTCTGTAAACCACCTCCTTCCATCTCTTGCGTTTCAGGCCACCGCCAAGCCCCTCCGGCACCATCACGGCCGCCTACGGCCAGCCCCAAAACCACTCCATCCCGGTGTACGAGATGAAATTCCCGGACCTGTGCGTGTACTGAGGGCGGCCGTGCTGGTAGGGCAGAGCCACCGCTGCACAGCTCGCACCAAAGGACCTCTTGGGGGAGAGATTGCTGACCCTGCGGGGAGCGCATCCTCGTGCAGGACGGGTGGGGACACGGACACCGAGGCCACCCCAAGATTTGTTGGCATCACAAACCCGTCTCCCGTACTTTCTTTTGTGACTCTCTGCCTCCGCAGCCATGTTTTGCAGCGGTTGGTGGTGCAGGAGGCTCGGGGCACAGCGGCGCGGGGAGGTGGGTAGTCGCTCTGACCTCCCTTTCCGGTTTTGTTTTTCGGGAAGGGGAGAGGAGATGCTCTGGCTCCGGGCAGAGCACTTTGGGTACGTACATCTTCCTGGCATAAAGCAAACCCATTCCCTGGGGAATCCCTCCCTGCATCGTTTATCGGCCACGTCGAGAGCCCCTGGCAAGGGGCAGGGCTGAAGCTGGAGGGTGTGAGACTGGAAAAGGCAGGAGGGCTCCTGGGGTGCAGCGTGCTGGAGCTTGGGGCAGCCGCAAAACCAAAGCCTGCCCGAGCTGGTGCTTGAGGCAGGTTGCTGGAGGGGGTACAGTCCCTGCATCCAACTCCTGAGTCTGCATCTTCCCGTAGCCCCCTTGGCCCGTGGCCAATTCCCCCGGGCGCTTCAAGGTGCCCCGATGCCCCAGACGGAGGGCTTGCCCGGTGCAGCGTGAGGGTAACGATCGTCCCGTCCCAGCGTGAGGGGCACACAGCAGCCTGGCTGGTTCCAGGTCACTTGAAAACATGATTTCTTTGGGAAAACCCACTTTTTTGGGGGAAAACCCGCAAGAGCCATGCCTTCTCGCCTGGGGCACGGGCAAGCTGGTCACGGGGGGCTGGTGCGACTGAGCCCACAGGCAGCGTGCCCGGGCACGCGGTGGGACGCCTGGAGCAGTGACACGAGGCACGAGCAACCACCGTGCTGGGGAATATTAACACGTTAACCCACTGTTTTCATATTTTTGGGTTGGGTTTTCACAGTTCGGGGGTTCCTGTCTCAAAGAAAGAATTATTTTTTTTTTTTTTTTTTAGCAGAATCACTTTGACAAAGTCCAATCTTAAATCAACTGAGCCGTAATCACAGAGAAACCCCAGCGCTGCAAGGAAATAGCTGCGATAAGAGGTGTTTTACAGGCTCCACCCTGCAGACCCTGCCTCTGGCAGGCTGTGGATCGCACCTCTGCTTGTGCAATAGGATAAAACTGGATTTGGGCTTGAGGGGGGAGATGAGGCTATCGAGAGTTTCGCTTTAGATGCACGTGGTAGAAAATTCGGGGCCCTACAGAACCAAAACTGCAAGGTGAAGATGGTAGGGATGGGGAGGAAAGGTCGTTTGGGGATATTCAGTCATTCACAGGGTCTCTCTTGCTCCCAAATGCCTTTCAAGTGTCGGTGCGCTAAGGGTGCTCTTAAGGCGAGCTTGGGCGCGCTCGCAGTCAGGCGCTGCCTGCAGCTTCCCCGCCGTCGCCCTCCGAGCAGCCTGGGGGTCTCTCCTGCGAGTTCAGGCAGCCCCTTCGCCTCCGGCCGGACACGCTGCTTCTGTCTTCACTGCCCGAAGAGACACGGAAGGGTCTAAAGCCGGAAATGAGATGGGGGAGCTGCTGCTGCCCATGGCGGAGGGCCGGCAGCCGCTCGGCGGTCACATTGGCTCTGCCCGTGCCCCGCTGGGTTGCTTCAGCCACGACCCATTTCTCTGCCACATCCCTGCAGATCTTCAGGCAGTTATTTTAAGCTGTAATTACACATTACCATGCCCCCCCCGCCCCGTTTTGTTGGTTTTTTTTTTTCCTAAGTGGCGGATACAGTTCGCGATTGCCCCGAGGTCACCGCTTGTTTGTGCAGTCGTGCTGTAATCTGGGCTTAGGAAATGATCTAGCTTAAGAGGACAGGAAAAACAAGGGTTTATTTCGGTCCCTGGGCTGGATCACGGCGCTGTCCCGCTCGCTTGCAGCGTGGCTCTGCCTGTGCCAGCCCTACCCGGTGCCCGAGGCTCTCCCCTTGCTGATGCCTCTCCTCAGGGTCCACGTGTGTCTCCGTCCCCTGTCACTCAGCCATT